AAATATATTTTTGCTACAAAACAAAGATTATTCCATATTTCAAGCCACATATCTTATGCCATAAAATCTGTCTTGCTTCGTTTGCATTGTGATTTATAGCCAGCCCTGTATATAAAAATTTATATTACCAATATATATATATAACTGTATCGCAATTATAGCGTAAGATATCGTATGATATTTAACTCTTTTAACGAAAGGAGTTGGAATTCACCTTTTAAATAACAGATCTCATATCCCACTGGTTACCAAATCGATAATTTAATAATCTATTTGAAAACTAATGATAGCCAGCGAAGGAGGGTAGCATGTATTACCGGTAGTACATGAGGCAGCTATCTTGTTCTTACATTATACTTGATATCAATTTACTACATTTAAATACTTTGTATTATTTGACAAGAAAATATTATTTCAGTATAATCTTCGCCCTAAGCATATAATCTGCTCTGATAAAATCTCAAACGTCTAGAATTAAAATAATTGTAAAAAAATATAAAACTAATAATTAAATCATATTTCCTAAAAATATAACCATAGCACTATATTTTTAACACACATGCATATATTTTCATATTTTTCATGAAATATTAAGAAATTGTAACGGCGTATTTAACACGAGTAATTACATAGTTCCAATAAAGAAATTACGTAAAAGAAAAGAATGAAGTTCGTAATAAGCGAACATGCAAAAATATAAAATATGCTTATATGCATTTTACCTCTCGATGGCCGCATTCCTAAGGAAGACAAAACCATACTTATATTATGAATATTATCAGGAGCAAACGATAGATTATACGATTAAAATTTATTTTTAGTAGAATAATATTGAACATATTGAACTATTGATGAAAAATAATACATCATTCTTCACTTTTATCACATCACTTTCGTTTAAATTTTTGAAAATTATAAATATGAATAACTATATATACATGTATATTGGTTATTAATACACTGGGTATGTAGCACCAGGTGGGAAAAAGATTAAGGGGTAATTCTTCAAAACAAAGTAAGACAAAAGTAAGAAACAAGAAATTACTTTGTTACCTAGTTCTCAGCAATTAAAAATTTGCCTAATAATAATTAATTATTTAATAACTTGAGAACAAAGCCGAAATCGCAATTTCTTGGTGTATTTTCTTACTCATTGTCCTGAAGAATCGTCCTTTGTATTTTTTCACACATATTGTCGAACACCCTGTAAACACTTCTTTTTAAATCTCTCCTTTTATTAATTTATCTGATATGTGTAAATCTTTACTAATTCTACTAGATTTAATGCTCTCATTTATATTAATGCTACTACAATCTAAACTGCAACTATTAGACTAACAGACTAGAAATGACAACATCAAAGAACATAAATTGTGTTCGAAAGGAATGTATAATCTTCTTTGATGCAATGACTTCAAATCTTTTTATAATATTCAAGACATCTAAGTATTCTACTATTCTTTATGTCAATGCTAATATTTTTAACTGTCGTTAAAACACGTAAAGCTTACCTTTTTAAAATGGTTTAGTGTATCAACGCTATTTTCACACATTTCTGTGATAAGTGTTACACCTGTAATTAAAACTCCATGGTTTTTCTCTGTAATTAAACTGCGTGTAGCAGGCAAGAACATTTCCATTAATTCTGGTACACGTCTAATGATTCTAAATGCACAGAGAGCTGCTTTTTTTCTAAGGTATGCATTTGGTGATTTCATTAGCCTTTCAACTTCAGATGCCAAATCCCTTGCCATTTCTGGTGATGCAATTGCACCCAAGGTGCACAATGCTAAACCATTAACAAATTGTGTTGAACTATTTAAATCACTGTAAAAAATGCTTATTGTTAATATTTCCATTAATATTTGAGAAGAAACATTATCAAAGTAATAATATGGAAACATCACTTTTTTAAGCAATTTGTAATTAGGAGATGAACATCTTGTCTTTCATCTAACAGTAACATTGCACCTAAATAACCAATTCGTTTATCCGTAAACCTTGGAGATGCAATAAGTTTCAAACATTCTAATTGGCCAAAATGTGCTGGGTACCTGGAAGTTTAAATTCTCATAGAAATAATGTTATTGAAAATGTCCTATTAAATATGATTGTTTATTAACAAAATTCTATACAAACCCAAGCATATGAATGTATAAGAGTTTTGCAATATTGCGGCATCTCCATACACTGTCCTCTTCTCTAAATGTAGAGCGAATATATGCACATTCTTTATTAACAACTGTTCTCTCCTCGGCTGCAGTGCGAGCAGCTCTTATTTGTCTGATGAGATCCCTCAGTCGTGTTGGTGCAGGCATTCTAACTGTTGAGACTTTTAAATTACACATATGTTATAAATTTTAGTGTTAGTGGGATTTAATGAGTTAAATGCTCAAGCTGAGGATGACAGTCATACTGAAAATTAAGTTCCATAATAATAATAAAGAATAGTATAAATACAGTCACAATTTTTTATATACAGCAGAAGCAAGAAAAGTAATAGCTTTTAAGAACTATATGTTATAAAATATAGCACCAAAAAATATATCACATGTAGGAATCATATAAAATGAAAGCCATTAAAGCCATTAATTAATACATATGTAGTTTCTTTTAACAAAAACAAGATTAACTTTAGATCTGATTATTTCCTTTACAGAGTTAAAAAAACATATTTTTTACTTAAATATCAATTATGTAAATATTATAATCTACATGTTTTCATATTATTGTACTAAAATAATTATATTTCTTATCAACAAAAATATATGCACATGTATATGTATGTGTACGTGTGTAAGTATCAACAAAAAATAGTAAGCAGGGAATATTATACATTACTCAAGTTAATATGAAATGGTATATAATATTCAATAGTTTATGAGCATTACACTTACCTCTTTCGACTGCCTCATTAAAAGCTTGTTTTATGGAGGCCATGTTAAAGGCTGGGTTAAACCTGTAACGTACACACCCATGCTATTTTATACACACAAAACATTTACATACCATTTTCTTTGTTGTGCAATGACACCTGTGATCTAATCTCGATTGTTACTTCTGATTCATTTTCAATTAATAATACATAACCTAATACAACCCAAACTATTTAAATCAAAGTATATTCTTTGTCATAGTGAAATGAGAAAACTATTTCTTTAATTAAAATACTATCAAAAATTTATTTTAATATAAGATGAACTAAAGTAACTAATTTTTTGTGCCATTATAATTATATTAATGAGGGAAATAGTAAGAATTATGTTTAATCTTCATTGATATTATCAAAGATGTCTAAAGTATTAAGAATGAATTATTACCCATGTTCTGATGCGTTCATGGTTTCACAGCGTAGTTTTCAAATGTGTATGATGAGCTTCGGTAATATTAATGATGTGATGCTGAATATGGAACACGACAGTTTGTTTCCTATTGGAAAAATGTCAGGCAATGTTATGGAATTTCATATAAAGTTATTTTCAAAAATCTTAAACAACTAACTATTTTTATAACATAAGTTAGATAAAACTATGTTAATGTTCTCCGCCCTGTAAGATGCTTTCACTTACATTACTGGAGCAAGTATTGTAATAAAAAACTGTACAAAATTTAAATAAATTCGATCATATAACTTTTGTGTTAACATTTGTTTTAAAATATTATACAACTTTGTCATTGATGTTGTATTTACATTCAATGTAAGCGTTATAAACAATAGATACATTTGTTGTGTTTTCAAAGCAATAAATTTTGCCTAACAACAAATTGCGATTTTAGCTTCTTGATATTCTCGATGCAACTTTATAAAAAATCTAAGATTAAAAAGAAACTTACTTGCAAGGTGTCATATGACAATAAAATGTATTTATAAATCAATCTATTAGTGATTAGAAAGACATATGATCGAAACTCGTAAATATATCATTAAATCAACGAGCATGTAATGCGTTCCTTTGACAGACGGAGAGCATGAACCTTATATTTGATTATATTCCACGGCACACAAAATAACCGGTTCCACTGACGAGATCTAAGCACTCGATGAAAATGTGTGTTGCAGTGCATGCAATGGATATTACCTAGTTTTTGAATGTCATTCGACCACGAATTCACGTGTTATAAAAACGCGCCGCGGTCGCACGCTCGCACAAGTCGGCAGCATATTGTAAAATGTGTAAACCGGTTATATAAAAGATTCGTTCGCACTGAAGGGCATCGAACCAAGGGTTAGTTTTCTAGCTGTCAAACAGTACCAAGTCAAAGACGTCGTTTTCAGGAAACTCGAATCCGGAAATCGCGCGACGTTTACGACGTTTACGACGTATATGTAACACGGCACGAAGGCGCGTCTTGTATGGTGTATACCGTCGTCGAATCGCCCACCTTTTACACGCAAGTCGTATGACAAATACGGCGAGAAATGCCTCGCCTCCCAGGGCGCGAGTCGTGCGCCCTCACTCACTTTTGCGCTTTTGCATAGTCTGTCCTGCACCTGGATATATCGGTCTGTGTTGGTTTGTACATATATACAAATCACATTCTGAGTACTTTCTTCCAAGCTGGATTTCAATGATCAACAATACGTACCGTAGGAAACTTCAAATTGCAACGAGGGCTAATCAATTCCAGTAAAAACCATAGACATAGTTAAACGGTTCACAGTCGTTTAGCCTATCGCGCGACAAACACTCTCCTCGATAGTCCGCGGTATTCGCGCACCAAAAGTCAAGATGGCTACCCATTGTCACTGACGTTGTCCCTGATAATACTGTCACATTTCGATATATGTAGTTGTGACCGATTTTTACGCTGTCTGTGTCTTACAATTGGAAATGTTTATCGATAGATTCATTGATTATTACTTTCGCACGAAATTCAATTTATTTCCCTTACTCGTAATTGTATTTGCCGGTCTCTTATTTATACTTTTGCTCAACGTAGTGGATAATAATGATACTCATTTATAAAGCGCGAAATTCATATTGTTTCGGAGGCACTGATTTCGTCTGTCTGTTATCCACTACGATAAGATAACAAACTGTTTGTATTATATCTCGATAATGCAACAATTATGTTGTTATAAATAAAACAATACACTGATTTATATAAAAATGCATGTCTATAACATGAGTGTCATTGCACAACTGTTGTTAAAAATAAGAAAAGTGTACCATGCATCCTCCACTACATGTTCATATGTGCCTATATTATTTTCTTTTCCTTCGATTTTAGCAAATTAAATAAAATAAATAATATATATAATAACAACCATGAACATAAGTTTTTAAAACAAAAACATGTGAAGACTATTTGTGATGTTTTCATAGAAAAACTATATAAAATTTGAATTGCATTGTTAATGTAATGTTAATAGTACTTATACTATTTCAAATGTGATTTGTTAACTTAATTTTTTATCCTTTTCTTTTGTCATGCATTTATGTAACAGGAATCGGGAGTGGAAATCATTAAGATAATCACCTTCTGTTTAATTCTGGTGGTAGAACACTCCAATCGTCTGATTCATAGTAAGGCCACATCGTGCACAAAATCTTAACAAATAAGCAACTCTGCACAAAGACTTAGTTAAAATTATGATCCATATATTATCTAGCACATACACCTGCACCACCAGTTTTGTAGACTTTTTATCACAAGCACAACAGAATGTGAAGCAAGGTGTTGGCATTATCTCTTATCTCTGTTACTAGCTTGATAGCAGCAGTACAAGCAAGAGTTATATTACTAGAATAATTTGAAAACTTATAAATTGTCCTAAATCAAAATGAATGAAAAACGTGTAAATTAATAATAATTAAAATAAGAGTATTAGAAAAAAAAGGAAGCTGAATTATTATTATTTATAAATAAATTGTATTTGTTAATAAGTGTAAGGTAAAAAATATTAATAATAATTCAATTGAATTACATATTTGTAATGGACAACTTAACTAGTATCGATTAGAAAAGAAAATTTATTGGTAAAAAGGTAATCGTTTCTAATACAAATGTACACAATTTATATGGTAAAATACTGTTTACAAATTAATCTATATATTAAAATAAAATAGGAATGTGATATTAAGACAAGCAATTATCATTCTGATTTCGTGGTGGTCGAACATCGTTGTTTCTCTTCACACAGTCTACAAGCCAGTGAATTCCTTCATCTACACCATCCCTTTATATAATACAAATGGTTACTTAAACAGTTATAAATAAGTCTTAACAAAAACAACTAATGTATGTAAATTACTTTCAGAAGTATACAAGTAATTTAATGGTTTACATACCCATTTAAAGCAGATACAGGCATTACCATACAGTCTCTTCGACCAATCAAATGTGCATTTTGATTAAAAATTGGTTTCACTTCCCTAACACCCATACAATCAGGCACATCTTGCTTATTTGCTAATACTAAGAGAGGTACACCTATTAGATGTTCTGAAGATATAACTCTATCTACAAAAATATTTGAATATTACTTCTTTATATAATTTTAAAATGTAACAGCGAAAACATCTTCTTCATATTTTACCAAATGTTTCTTTAGAATCAGGTATTTTTTCACGGTCTGACGAATCGACTATGTAAATTACTGCGTGTGACTCTGCATAATACTATAAACACAAAAATGTTTTTATATATATATTTTGAATATTTATAAAGATATGTTACTAATGATTTTCAATTACTTTATCCCATAATGATCGGAGTTCTTCTTGTCCACCAAGGTCCCAGAAGTTAAAGCGAACACCAGCAATATCTATCTTCCCAATATTTAAACCAACAGTTGTTGTGATTTTGCTGGGATTCATACCCTTGTAATTTTTTGTAAATTTTGTTTTTGCCGCCTCTAAATATGTCTACGATGCAGAAATCATAAAAAAGTAAACTTATACAGATTATTTAACCTAAACATTGCATACTTTATCGTCTCTTACCGTTTTTCCAGCATTGTCGAGTCCTAATATTAATATGAAATATTCATCTTTTTGCACAAGATACTTGTACAGCCCATGCAAAAGAGTGTACATTTCAAAACGTTTGAATGTTCAAAAATTTGTTTCACATTGTTTACATGTTACATATATTCATAAATCATGTTTACGACAAATCGCGACATACAAATCTTACACATCGTATCACGTAAAAGTCATCATGTGGAAGTATGTTGCAGATTGTATGTATGCATACGTATGCACGTACAACTAAAATACAATATTAAATAAATTGTTCATGCGAAATATGGTGCATACTCATTATTATTACTACTTATTATTTATTATTAGGATGAAATATCAGAAAAATATTCACACCATTATACAAAAAATAAACATTTATACGATATCATAAAACTATATTTAACATAACACATGTATTAAATTGGATCTTATCTTGTTTCCTCTTTAAACAATTATTCGAACAAAATTACATATACTATATTTAAAATTCGATTAATGGCTGGAGATTAGAACCAATAGAATTAGAATTTTTGTTGGGTGTTCTGGAACAAAACTTCATTACAATGTACATACTAAGGTTTCTCAACACCGTAACATTTAATTTAAGGTGTGCGCATGCAATGCAGTAGTGTTCGTGGTGGCACACGTGCAGCATGTCAAACACGAAATTGAAATGGACTTTCAATTTAGTACTTCAATCACTTTTTATCACAAATACGATTAGTTCAACCGGAGATAGGTCTCAATTTTATAGTTTATGTCTTGAAAAATGTCGTGACATTAACTGTAAACCCAGTATGCATTTTTTTAACGCTACCTTGTGTGAATTTAATAATAAAATACGAACTTTTAACAAGTCTTTAAAGTCCATCATTTCATATTATACATTTAACACTTTTAAATATTTTTAAGATTTACTATAATCTATGTCTCATACAATTTGTGCATGAACTTCAATTATTTAAAAATATTTATTTATTAACATTTTGATTTTTATTATATAATGCAAAAATATCTCGTTAAGATAATTTTATACAAAATACAATGTGATATTCTACATCTTAGATAATTTATTAATATTTTATAGATGATGATTTCAAAGTGCAACCTCCTTTAGCTCTAAGATTGTTATTTTGGACTTGTGAAGAAGATTGTAGTTATGATTGCACTTGGGAGACAGTTAATTATTTTACTTCACATGGCTTAAAAGTTCCTCAGTTTCATGGGAAAGTATGTATCTATATCCAATTAATAAATTGTAAATGTACAATTTAATTACATATGTGTAATTCTTCATTTTTATTTTAGTGGCCATTTATTCGTTTTCTGGGGTGCCAGGAACCTGCATCTGTAATATTTTCTGTATTAAATTTATATGCTCATGTCTCCATGTATTGGAAATTTAAAAAAAAGTCAAGAGCTAGTGATCCAATGTTTTATGTTTGGACTTATTTTAGTATGGTAAATACTATATACATTTTTTTGTTTCTTATAAATAATTACTATAATCTTCTATCATGGAAGGAAAATAAGTATATTTTATTCTTATAAGTATTGCAAAATATTTAATTTTAGATATGTATCCATGGCTGGTTTTGGTCTTCTGTATTTCATGCAAGGGACATACCATTTACAGAAGTAATGGATTATTCGAGTGCATTTATTATGGTTCTCACATTATTATATTGTATGATATTAAGGTAATTTATAACATTCAATTTTAATATAAACAAGTTTAACAAATGTTTTAAAGCTCATCTTTTTTGATTTCAGGATAACATATAAAAATAATAAAATGTTCGCAGTAACCACATGTGGGTACCTTAGTACTTTATATACTCATTTATTACATTTATGGTCCGGTAATATTAATTATGACTATAATATGAAATTCAATGTTGTCATAGGTACTTTTAACATTATAATTATAGCTTTATAAATCTTTACAGAAATGTGTTTTACACGAAGCATCAAATCTATATCTCATTTAAACAATTTCCAGGAATTTTAACATTTATTTCAACAATAATTTGGTGGTATCGGAATCATAGGAAGCTGCCATATATTAATTTAATTGGTTGGTTTAATATACTAACTGTTTTAGTTACCATATTAGAAGTGGCAGATTTTGCACCAATTTTTTGGGTGTTCGATGCTCATTCCTTATGGCATGCTAGCACTGCCCCTCTTACCATTTTAATGTACAGGTATGTCTGGTTTTTCAAGATTCATTATATATACAAATATATATACATTTATAAATGTCATTTTCAGATTTATGATAGCCGATTGTTCTTTCCTTAGAACATATTACAGTAAACTGACGTTAGATATTGACCATCATATACGTTGAATTAGTTGCAGTATTTATATAGTTCAATAATTAAAAAATTAAATCTTACATGTACATAAATTACAAGAAAATCTAATATAATTATTAAAATATATATCTGATAATCTACAAGTGGTGTTCTGTGTAAAAGACCCTTGAAAAGATGCAAGACATCAATATGATTAAAAACGGAATTGATTGTTACAATAAACTATAAGATGCATTTTTCTTTTGCGAAAAATCGATTGTGACGCCTCTGTTGGAGAAAAAATGAAGCTCGATTTGGGTTCCGTACAGCGCCAATTAGTAGATGGCAAAACGCTCAAACTGTTAGCCAAATTACCAACAGTCGAATTTGACTAACAGTTTGAGCGTTTTGCCACCCACTAATTGGCGCTGTACGGACCCCAAATCGAGCTTTATTTTTTCTCCAATAGAGGCGTCACCATCGCCCGTATATGCACTGCCACTAAATATATTTGAATTAGCTTCGTGTAATATTCAGACTGGTAATCATTTCTTGCATGTTTTATTACAGCCGAGGTATTAGTCACAAACATTTTTCGAAAACTAGCAAGTGGTATAAGTTTGCACAATTTTCGAAAAATTTTTTAAATCATTGTACATAGTGCTGGCTATCGCGCGTCGCACTGCGCAATCTACGGCCTGAATTGTGTATAGTACATATAAGAGACAATAATACTGTTCTGTACGCCTGTGCATTGATAAATTTGTACGTTCAAACAATTAATTACTAAAGAGATATAAAACGTAAATAAATTTTCGAATTAAGATAAACTAATTCTGGTAGAAAAATCTGTAGGTTATTAGAAAATTATGTTCGTGCCTAAAAAATTATCCAATAAAACTGAAAGATTTAATGCAGTTAAGAACTAAACAATGCATTACATTCTAAGTGATAATGCTAAAATAATAATTGTCGAAATATGATTATGATATATAAATATTTACACTCATTGTAAGTGAGGTACGCTTATTTTCCTAATTCTTCTATACATTGTTCTCTTGCACTTTTAAGCTACAGTTTTACCTTTGAAATAATTGTGTGTATAAGTTCATACAAAATTTTAGATTTTTTAACTGTGTTTGATGCTGATAGTTCAATCTATCATTTTTAGTAATTTGATATAGTTTTTGGTTAAGAATTGTATCGAGAAAGTAGAATTTTGTGTATGTTAACAGGTGAGTCAATGTAGAAATCGAATTAAGGTTAATATCATCAATTACCTCTAGACATGACATGTATAACACATAGTTATATGTAATTTGTTATGTATTACAAGAGAGTATAATATTTATAATAGTTTTATAGCTCTATAACTGTCTCTTATACACATCGAAATATGTATAAGAGACAGATATTAACATTCTTAGTGGAATCTATTCTGAAAGAAAAATGGCTTTAACATTTTATAGAGCTATAAAACTATTATAAATATTATACTCTCTTGTAATACATAACAAATTACATATAACTATGTGTTATACCTGTCTCTTATACACATCGAAATATGTATAAGAGACAGATATTAACATTCTTAGTGGAATCTATTCTGAAAGAAAAATGGCTTTAACATTTTATAGAGCTATAAAACTATTATAAATATTATACTCTCTTGTAATACATAACAAATTACATATAACTATGTGTTATACCTGTCTCTTATACACATCGAAATATGTATAAGAGACAGATATTAACATTCTTAGTGGAATCTATTCTGAAAGAAAAATGGCTTTAACATTTTATAGAGCTATAAAACTATTATAAATATTATACTCTCTTGTAATACATAACAAATTACATATAACTATGTGTTATACCTGTCTCTTATACACATCGAAATATGTATAAGAGACAGATATTAACATTCTTAGTGGAATCTATTCTGAAAGAAAAATGGCTTTAACATTTTATAGAGCTATAAAACTATTATAAATATTATACTCTCTTGTAATACATAACAAATTACATATAACTATGTGTTATACCTGTCTCTTATACACATCGAAATATGTATAAGAGACAGATATTAACATTCTTAGTGGAATCTATTCTGAAAGAAAAATGGCTTTAACATTTTATAGAGCTATAAAACTATTATAAATATTATACTCTCTTGTAATACATAACAAATTACATATAACTATGTGTTATACCTGTCTCTTATACACATCGAAATATGTATAAGAGACAGATATTAACATTCTTAGTGGAATCTATTCTGAAAGAAAAATGGCTTTAACATTTTATAGAGCTATAAAACTATTATAAATATTATACTCTCTTGTAATACATAACAAATTACATATAACTATGTGTTATACCTGTCTCTTATACACATCGAAATATGTATAAGAGACAGATATTAACATTCTTAGTGGAATCTATTCTGAAAGAAAAATGGCTTTAACATTTTATAGAGCTATAAAACTATTATAAATATTATACTCTCTTGTAATACATAACAAATTACATATAACTATGTGTTATACCTGTCTCTTATACACATCGAAATATGTATAAGAGACAGATATTAACATTCTTAGTGGAATCTATTCTGAAAGAAAAATGGCTTTAACATTTTATAGAGCTATAAAACTATTATAAATATTATACTCTCTTGTAATACATAACAAATTACATATAACTATGTGTTATACCTGTCTCTTATACACATCGAAATATGTATAAGAGACAGATATTAACATTCTTAGTGGAATCTATTAGATGTGTATAAGAGACAGCTTATACACACAATTATTTCAAAGGTAAAACTGCTGTCTCTTATACACATCTTTGAACAGGTTCTTAATAAATATTATGTTTATGAAAGTTTCAAATCTTATATATTAATAAATGGCAAATATGAAACACGTCATTAACTTAAATGGAATACAATAAATTCATGTTACGCAATTTGACATCAAATATTTGTGTAGTGATATATCCCAATACATATATAACAAATCTGTTTTAGTGCACTATTACAGATGCCATACATTTTGGTACGCGGTAATCTTGCATCATATAGTCATAGATATCCATGGAGGGTTTTAGTATCTGGTCTTAAAGGTATTGTTCTTTGGAAATAAG